TGTTTCCAAGGTCATGGCCCATTGAAGACATTGAATAGCATTGACTGAGAAAGGGGAAGAAGTAGAACATCTTTGTGTCTGTGTCTGAGGAAGGCACAGTGACGTGCTGTATATGGGTCCCTGGGTTCTGGAAGAGGGGCAGTAGTGGCAACTGGTATCTCCAGTCTGTGTCCAGCCCAGCTCAGCCCTTATGAAGTTGAATGTCCCCTAAGAGGTGGCTGCGTTGGTACCTGTTAGGATTGCCCAAATCTGGACCTACAATCCCCCCAAAAATCAAACTCCCTGCAGAGGCATCTACCTTCTAAGGGACCTCCCAGGCCAAGCAGGAGGCCAGCAGCGAGGCACTAGCACTTCACAGAGAGCTGCGGAGCTAGATAGCCGCAGGTTGTGGGTTTAGTGTGCTGGCCAGAACTGAGCTGGGCAAGGCGGGAGGCCCGGGCCCTCCTCCACTTCTTGGGGCACGGGGTTGCTATTTTCATTGACTTTGAACATCTTGCTAGCCTTGGTTACACAGGTGCAGGGGGTCTGACATGGCCTTAATTGAAGTTGGGAAAACAAAGGAAACCACACGCATCCTGAGGTTTTTTTTTTTTTTCCCATTTATTTATTTTATTGCATTTTAGGTTTTTGGGTACATGTGAAGAACATGCAAAATTGTTGCATAGGTACACACGTGGCAGTGTGATTTGCTGCCTTCCTCCCCATCACCTACATCTGCATCCTGAGTTTTTGAGGTACATAATCCATATCTATGCTAATAAAAGGTAGTATGCCCTTGATCTAAACAGGCAGCACAAGACGGTCTCAAATGCAAAGCGCTCATGATTAAAAAACATCCAAATTAATGTTTTTATCCTCATTACAGAATAAAAAATTCTACTTAGAGAAATTAGGTACATTTCACTTGAGAAGAAAATATACCTAATGCCAATCATTTCACATACACATGTACACCCTGCAGGTGCAAGGACCGTGCGCTGGGAGCCGGCGGTTCCCAGTGAGTAGATGCTGAGTCCTGATCCAGTACCTCGTAGTCTTCCTCAGGTTCCTTGGACAAAGGACATACAAGTTCACAGATCTCAGTTGTGCATATTTCCAAGATTGGCTTTCTAGTAACTTTCCAAATCAGCTCTTAAGAGTCATCAACATTTGGTTTTCACAAACTAAAATTGGTCCCCGATGTAGTCACCAAGAACTCTGATGCAGCGTTTTCCCGAGGCTGTCTGTCAAGGCTCCAGGCAACCCCAGCTCCACCACCCCCACAAGCTAGAGAGAGCACCTAGCACTGCATGGGCCGCTGGTAGAGATTTCTGCTGTTTTCCAGAAGAAGGCTCTTCTGTTTATTCATCAGCAGGGCTATCTTGCATTGGTCATAGTTTCCCACAGCTCCTACTATTGCTGTTGAATTGAGAATTGATATTACTGTAAGTGCATCATCATGTTAGATTTGTGTGACTTTGGGCCTCACCAATGGAGGCGGTATGATGCATTTCTATCTCAGGTATACTTATGTTTAAAATTACAGTAACTACCTTTGATGACGTTCTGTTCTGTGGACCCAATAGGAATCATCCATCCCGCTATTGCTAGTGCTAGCGCCGATGGACTTGTAAGTTACAACCACTGCCCCAGAGAAAGGTTGCTTCCCGATGAGTGACATCCCATGATATCACAGAGTTCTTGAATCTTGAAAATCAGGAGAGGATGGATAGGCTGTGGAATCTCTTCTCTCCCTAACTGGGCTGTGAACAAAACGGTTTATTTCAAGTATAAGAAGTCACTTCAACTGTAGAGTATGGTGACATAGGTGAATGCAATTGTAAAAACTCTTCAGTCGTGCACTTGAGAGCTTCACCTTTTATTGAATGCAAAGTATAGCTCAATTAAAAAACAAACTGATAAAAACAAGAATAAGAGGCCAGAGGAGGAGAACAGCGTCTCTTGAGAGTGAGAATTAAGAATGGGAAGGAGGTCCAGCCAAGAATGCATGACCACAACGTAATAAGGATATGTCAGACAAACCCCAAATCAGGAAAGCTCTATTAACAAGCAAAAGGGTCGTATACTCTTAAAAAATGTCAGTGTCACAAGAAACAAAGAAAGTTTTCAAAGGGAAAATGCTGTAAAGGGCATCATGAAGATCAAATGACAATTTGATTATAGATGGTATATTAAAGTATTGTCAGTGCAGCTATATGAAGCTGGTAACTGTGCTACAGCTATGTGACAATATCCCCATTCTTAGGAAATGTGTTTCAACATATTTAGCGGTAAAGACCCATGAATATGTAACTCACCCAGAAATAGTTTAGAAAATAAAGTTATGTATGAATGTGTAAAAATGCATGTATATGTATACACACACATGCACACAAATTCTCTGTTGTTTACCTTTGGAAGAAAAGAAGAAAAAGGATAGGTTTGGTTCTTGCTTGAGTCTTATTGCCAAAGTCAGTTAAAGGTTTGTCAGGTGTTTTTCCAACAGCTGCACCTCCAGACAAACTCATTGCCATCAGGATGCCCTCTTTCAATCAGTAACTCCTGAAAGCCACATCATACACATAGCTGATTCATGAAAACCTTGACTCCTGGTCAGGCCACTGTTACCTGGAAATGAATGGGGCTCAGGCAAAGTTTAAACACTGGGACAAGTACATCTATTCAGTTAAATTGAACACACATGACTGAGTGAGAAGGGAGGGAATTGAAGAGAGTGGGAGAGAGAATGCACAAACAACAAGCAAATGAGCAAAAAGGTTAGCAATAGATACATCTGAGTAAATGGTACATATGGGCCACATTCTGTTATGCTTATTTTGCAAATTTGGAATTATCTCTAAATAAGAAGTGTTTTCAAAAAAAAAATTGGGAATGAAGAAGGTAGAATTCCAAGAGCTTCATGGTATAAACTTGAGTCAGTTTGGAGCTGTGTTAGTATCCTCATGATGGGAGTCACCATGGTAATTATGCTGCACTAAAAGTCATAAATGGGTAATTCCAAAGCAATAAAAGCTAGATTGCTTATGTGGCAAACCTGGGAGGATGAGAGAGAATTTCCTTATTGCTTATTCTGCAGAGAAAAGGAAAACAGGACAGGATTTTTGTTGACAAGGCCGGTTGAGGGTTTGGTGAGTGTTTTCCCAACATCTGCACTTTCAAACAAGCAGATTGTTATCAAGATCTTCTCTTTCAATCAGTAACTCCTGAAAGCACTATTTACCCATAGTTGATTCATAAAAACCTTGACTCCTGGACCAAGTCAGTGTTACTCAGAGATGAAAGCAGTTCAGGTAAAGTTTATACATTGGGACAATGACATATATTCTGCCTAATGGCAAAATTTCTCCAGTAGCACCATGGGTTTGGAAGAGGAAGTGGTGCCTAGTGATCTCAGTGTGCTTTCAAAGGCCATCATGTTTGATCTTGCCCCTCAAGGTGGCCACCACCGAAGCTCACTTCCTAAGGGATCCACTGTGGAAGAAGTTGGCTCCATCTCCTGCCCACACTAAAGTTGCTCTAATGCAGATAGCAGGAATTTACTCCCTTCCCCACTCACAGATGGAAAACACAGCTTGACTTTGTTCAAGCACACTTTCCAGGCACACAGAAATCTCCCCCTCTACCTCACCTGCTTCTGGGATGAGTTAAAGTACAGATTGCACTTCATTCTCCAACCTCTAGACTGTGGAGTCACGAAGCTGAACGCTCCTAACTCTTCCTCTGATAAAGATAGGCTGTTTGGGGGGACTTGGATGTTGACCTAAATAATGAAAGCTGTCTGCCTGTTTGCCAGCATGTGTAAAGCCAAACTGGAACACTGTACAGGGAATTAAACTCAGGTGGCAAAATAGGCTTATGGTCACAGACACACTTCATTCTATTCTTTCCTGGTCATGTCATGTTACTTCCTGGAGAAGGGAAAGTCAAGAACAAGAGCTTACTTTATCTGCACTGAGTCTGCAAGGTCTGTCTGGCCATGAGTCAAAGCCTCAGAGCAGAGAAGGATCCATAGCAGAGAAGACAAGCATCAGAGAGGGAGATGGGTGGCAAATGAGAGAGACGCAGAGTCTCTGCTGGAGACATAAATAACCCCTGATCTGCTAGCATAGACCCCTGAGGTTGGACAGGAAGATAGCAGCCCTGGGTCCCAGGAATTTGAGGGACCAAGAGTCCCGGTGCTGCCCTACAACTGTTTAGGGCATAGCCTGGACAGGGCTGGAGTGAGTCAGTGAGAATATACCCAGGCCTCCAGCCTGTGGGTCCTGCCACCAATTCACATCAGCAACCTTGGTCTCAGTTGGTAACTTATTGAGCCCCTCAACATTCAAGGCACCGTGCTGAACACTGCACATGTGTTACTTTGCACTCAGGACAACCTATCCCTCTTTTAATGATAAGGAAATGGGCTGAAAATGCTGACCTGCCAAGGTAGATTTTGAATTATTTCCAAATAATTTTAATAAAATTATAAATATTAAATTATAGATTTTGAATTTTGTACATAATTTATAAATTATTTTTAATAAGTGGTAAAGCTAGGATTTGCAGCCAGGACAGTCTGGCTCCAAATCTCATATACATTTTTGCCCCACCACACTGTGCATAAATAAGTGTGTACAGACACACACACATACACACACACACACACACACACACACAGAGCATGTTGGATTTTCTAGCTTCAAAAAAGAATTTGGTGTGCGTGTCATAACTGATTCTTGGCATTCTGTAGTCACATCTGCTTAGAAAGAAGTAGTGATGTTGGCCTAAAGTAACTGGGGCTCTATCACATGGCTGAGATTGTCCGCAGTCTGGTTGTGTATGTTGGAAGAGGCTCTTCTTGAGAACTCAGTATCCTGGTTTCAGCTGCCAAGGTCAGAAGATTTGGTGAAAGCCAATGGGCTACATGAGAGCGAACTGTCAGAGGGCTGGGCTGGCCCCAGTGCCAGGGAATGTCCAGTCTCTTACCCCTTGCCATCTTCTCTCCCCTGTCTTTGCAGCCAACCTCAGTTTGAAGTCCAGGGCGGCGGCTCTTGGGGAGCAGCCAGTGTACCAGGGGCCCGTGCACTGCATTGCAACCATCGTGAGGAATGAGGGCCTGGCGGGGCTGTACCGGGGGGCCAGTGCCATGTTGCTGAGGGACGTCCCGGGCTATTGCCTCTACTTCATCCCCTACGTGTTCCTGAGTGAGTGGATCACACCCGAGGCCTGTGCAGGCCCCAGCCCCTGTGCCGTGTGGCTGGCAGGTGGTGTAGCAGGTAAGGGCAGCAGCAGCTGGAGCCACACCCCTGTGCTGGCCACTGCAGTGGGACAGCTGGGGAGCTGGCCATGCCCTTTTCAGCCCAGGGGGAGGGCAGGACACAACCAGGGACTCACCCAACAGTTCTTTGCTAGGCACCTACTCTTCCCAGGCCTTCTCCCACCTCACTCTCCTCCCCTCCCCATGTAGCTATGAGAATGGCAGTTCCCATCTGAGCTCGTTTGACTTTCAGGCAACAGATATATTTTGAACACATACTCTGTGTCAGGCATTACTAAGCTTTGGAAAGGAAATCCATGATCATGGTTCAGTGTATTGAATGCTGGCATGCTGCAACCTTTGTAATGTAAAGATGTCATTCATTCTGCAAGGTAGGAATTAAGTCTCCCCATTTCACAGATGAGAAAACTCAGGTCCAGAGGTGTTAAGTAGCCAATCCCATGACATACAGCTGACATGGGATGCTGACAGTATATCAGGGACTCTGCAGCCAGAAAGCTTTAAGTTCAAATCCACACTTCGTCATTTTGTGACCACGGACTGATTGCTTAACCTCCCTGCTCAGAGTCCTGCACCACATCCCTCTTCCATTTAAGGTGAAAGTTGACATCTTTGCAATGGTTTTCCAGGCCTTCAGTGACTTGGCCCCCTGTTTCTCACCCACCTCACTTCTGCTCCTCTCCCCTTCCTCACTCTCTCCAGCCACACTGATCTCTGCTGCAAATTGACCATGCCTGGCCCTTCCCCAACCACAGGGTCCTTGTACCTGCTGCTTGTACCGCCTGAACTTAACAATGTGAAGGCCACTGGGGACTTTGGCAAGGGCCATTTGATGGAGAGAAGGGTGTAAAAACCTGATGGAGTGGGATCAAGAGAGAATGGGATGAAGGATATTGGTGCACCCAAATATACACAACACCTCTGAGGGTTCTGCTATGCTGTAATGAGGAACAGAGAAACAGAGCTATAGCCAGAGGGGCCTATGGAAGCCAAGAGAGGATGCTGTTTAAGAAGGCTGATATCATAGCATGTTTGATGCGATGGGAAAGATCTAATGGAGAGAAAATCATGAATCCCTCCTCTTCCTCCTCCTCCTCCTCCTCCTTCTCTTCCCTCTCTTTCTCTTCCTCATCTCACAATTCGCCATGCTGTCAGCTCATAGCAAACTCATATCAAAGCTCATGTCTTCACCACCTAACTACAGTTTCCCCTTCTGGCCCCCTGGTGCCTGTGCTCATGCCCAGCTCCTAGGAAGAGCTCCATCAGTATCGACTGGCAGAGAGGACAGCAAGTCCCCATCTGTTCTCACTTCTGGGGAGTGCAGGTGTGAATGGCCTGGCGGGCAAACCTCATTTTGTGATGCCCTTAGCCATGGGCTGAGGGACAAGGGAGTGTACTGGGGCAGCACCCAGGGAAGTGGCCCCATTGTCCTGGCAGAAGGCACAGGTCGGAGAGGCTCCTGGAGGTCCAAGGGCAGGAGGCCGAGGGGACCAGAGGCCAGGATAGGCAGAGGGCCCAGGGAAGTCTAAGGTCTCCTTTGGAAGCTACTTGGCAGCAATTACAAAACCATGCAAACCAGTTTCCCTGGACTTTAACATCCATTTGTTTTTCTCTCCCCATCTAAGAATGTGCCAATTGCTGTGTTTATATAATAACCCAACATTGTTTTTCTAGTGTTTACCTGAGCGTATCCCATGAGGACACTTAGGGGCAAATGATCCCAAGCCTTCAAAAACCATTCCCTGCTCTGTTTTTGCAATCCCCAGACTGGCCCTTCCTTGGTGAGCAGCCTGTCTGCGTGTGTTTGCTTAGCTTCTCTGTGTTCAGAGTACATTCTGCCTTCAGGGAGCTGCAAACCTTCAGCCTCATGCCTTGCCCTGGACTCTCTTCTGGTGCCCTGAGAAGGTGCTGCCAAGTACCTGTGGAGCCTGTTACTCTTTCCCCAATAAAAGCTGCTAATAAAGACTGCCACGTCATGAGCACTGGCTGTGGACCGGCACTGTGCTCCATGCTTCATATTCGTCCATTCATTTGGTCAAGACAGTCCCACAAAGATAGGTGCTGCTGCCTCATTTTACAGATGAGAAGCCAAGGCTTAGAGAAGTAAAGAAACTTCTGCCAAGTCCCACAGCGAGTGGTAAGGGTGAATCAGAAACAGACTTTGCAGGTTCTAAGCCTGAGCTCTATCCCTTCTCCCAGCTTAGTAAATCTCTGAATGGTAGAAACTTGCAAGGAATTTCTACTATTTGCAGGCCCCTCCAGACCCTAAGGAGCCAGCCCCTGACACCTGTTTCTTTCTCTTTGCAGGAGCAATTTCTTGGGGGACAGCGACTCCTATGGATGTTGTGAAAAGTCGACTTCAAGCTGATGGGGTTTATTTAAACAAATATAAAGGTGTCCTGGACTGTATCTCCCAGAGTTACCAGAAGGAAGGTCTTAAAGTAAGCCCACAGCAGGCCTGCGGGGTCAGTGTCTGTCCCTGGAAGGTGGCTCACACATTTAGGGGGATATGGGACCATAGAGAAGGGAATCGGGAGACCCAGGGGCTGGTGGTGATTATGTATCAGGCACCACAAGCGGATGCTTTGTCAAGCACTTCACCGGGGCGGTCTTTTCACATGGCCCGTGGAGGATGTAGGTGCACGGCCGACCTGACAGAGCTCAGAGAGGGCTGGTAAGCTGCCCCCAGCCACACAGCTGGTGCACGGTGGAGCCTGGTCCATGTGTGTCTGTCACCACAGTTCACCTTCTCATCAAGATAGGCTGGGCGGTCCTTCCTCACAGCTCAGTGCCTTCCCCACTCCGCGACCCCATGGGAAGTCCCAGAGCCACCTTGCCTCCTTCCTGTCCTCAACCAGCTCATCTTACCAACTCCAGGCCCAGTGGACTGTCTTCTGCTCTCCCACCTAAGTCCCGACCCCAGACCTCTGGCCTCAGCTGAGGAGGCGGCCTCTGACCTGCTTCCCTGGGCTTTGTCTCCTCTGTTCTTCCTACAGCTCGAAAGCTTAACCCAACACACACCCCTTCCCACCACCTGAAAAGGTGCTACCCCAGGACAGACCAGACTTCCATGTCTGGTGTCCAAGGTCATAAACAGATTCCTCACCCTCCGGAGAAACCATCCCGCTGGCTCTTTCTTGCATGGGCTCCTTGCTTTCTTGGTGTGGCTCTTCGAGTCAGCAGATATGGGTTCAACGTCAGATGCAGCTACTGTGAGCTGGCAGAATCCAAGCAAGTGGCTTCGTGTCTCAGGAACTCAGGCCCTCCCTGAATGATCATCCTTTCCATGAGGGGCAGGGCGTTTGTGGGTTAATATAGAAAGCTCTCCGTTCAGTATGTAACCCATAGGGAAGAGTTTACCCTGTCTCACTGGCATTAGCATTCTCAGTATTGGTTTATTAGCGCCAGTGTTACCCTGGAGCTCTGAGTCTTTTCTCACGTGGCTGCCCCACCCCAGGCCCTGCCACATGAATCTGCCCCCTCCTTCCAGGCCCAGCGCAGTCCACCACCATCCCCAGAACCCGTGTCATTGTCTTGCTTCTCCTGTACCTCTCTCAAGGCCCCTCACACACACCACCACGGGCGACAGCTCTTTCTATACCTCCTTCTCTGATTCTTAAAGCAAGTTTCCTGAGGTCCTGTTTTATACCCTCCCCCAACTTGGGAAAGATCCAGAGTTGGGATGACCCAGTGTTGAGGTAAATGACTAACATACCACATGAGAGGGACAAGATGCAAAAGCTAGATCAAAGGGCCGCATCTAAAGTACAGAGCTACCAGAAGTCACTGTAAAGTCCAGCCATTAGTATTCAATAATGGATCAATCACCTCTGTAGAGGATGGGGCAATCTGATTTGATGAAGGCTCCTAGGGAAAAGTGCCTAAGGGCTTTGGTTTTCAAATGCTTATTTTTAGAGAACCTCGTATGTGGCAGGCACAGTTCTAGGAGCTGGGGACAGAGCAGTAAACAAAAGAGAAAAAGCCCATGCTCTGATTAGCTAATGTGGCAGTGAGCCAACAGTGAGACCTGTCCCAAGGCTGCATTCATAGAAGTATAGTGGGTAGGATAAGGGAGGTGGAAGCCTCTGCCCTGACCATATTACAGCTGGAATGTTGCATCTACCTCTGGTCACTGCCCATTAAGCAAGACCCTGGTGGTGCCCAGGAATGAAGAGCTGGATATCATAGCAAGTGGGGAAAGGCTGGACCCCGGGACTCTGGTTAGTATGAGAAGATGTGATACAGAGGAAGCTTGATTTCTGTCTTTATGTGTTAAGGATGGATAAACTCAGAGCTTCACTATTCTCATTGTTTTAAATTCCTTTTTAAAATTTTTAACAAGAGCTGTTCTGACAGAAGGGTGAAGCCCAGCCCTGGTGCAGCCTCAATTGTCTTTTGTATCTTCTGTTTCTTTTGTTTTGTTTTTAGCAGAAGTGCAGTTTGTGATTTAGCCAATGAGTGCAGAGAGATATAAAAGTGTTTCAAATAGATGATTTATTTTTATTTGAGATGTTTTTGTCTACTTCCCCAAATATGAATGTGTCATAATTCCTAAAAAGTCTGTAGAGGCAAAATATATGGCTGACATTATTTCCTTGGAAAGTAACTGTGCTCTCTGAAGAAAAGTGAAGTCCTGGAAGTCAGCTGAGTTCAGATGATTGGTTTCTCCGTCTCAATACTATTTGGTCTGTAGTGTTGGATGAGAGTCAGATTTTCAGTCAAGATAATAATACTCAGCTTGAGTAAACCACAGCATGATCAGACCATTCAAGGTTAATTTTTTTTAATTTGTATTCATTGGTTAAAAATAGATAACATATGAACATAGGAAGCTTCTAAAAGTACATGAGGATGTACTGTCTCCGTGCCCTGCATGCAGTCCCTGTCCTCCCTCAAAGGCAATTACCGTAAAGTTTCTTATGATATATTCCAAAAATATTTACAGTATATACAAGAATATATGTGTATGTATATATCTATGTATGCTTATATATGTGTTTACTTATGAACATAAATAGTAACATAAACATAACCACACCACCTAGAACAATCAGGTTGTCTCAAAGGCATTTTTTTTTTGAGACAGAGTCTAGCTCTGTTACCAGGCTGGAGTGCAGTAGCATGATCTTGGCTCACTGCAACCTCCGCCTCCCAGGTTCAAGCAATTCTCCTGCCTCAGCCTCCTGAGTTGCTGGGATTACAGGCACACACCACCACACCCAGCTAATTTTTGTATTTTTAGTAGAGATGGGGTTTCACCATGTTGGCCAGGATGGTCTCAATCTCCTGACCTTGTGATCCCCACACTTTGGCCTCCCAAATTGCTGGGATTATAGGCATAAGCCACCGTGCCCGGCCATTCAAAGGCAGTTTTCTAGCAGCTGCAGGAGGAGGAGGTAGAGAGGATTCTCCCGGTGCCCCAGGGTTGCCCCCAGTTCCCAGCTGGCTTGGGCTCTGGCCATATGGAGCATTCCTCCCCAAGCATTCTTGGCTGTGGCTGGCAGAGGCAGATCGCAAAGCCCCAAACCCATCATCATCCAACCTGTTCTTACCTTCCTAGGGAAGGAGAAGTTGGTGACAGTAAAGAATTAGAAAGGCATTAATCATGATGATGGAGACCAATTTGAGTAGTTCTTTGTAACCCACTTAGGGATGATCAGTGGTGCAGCCTTTGTGGCGGGGAAAATCAAAAGTCCATGGACTTGTCAGGGTACCCCCAAGTAGAAACAGAAGAAAAGCCTGGTAGTTTTGGAGCCATTCTCTGCCTGCTGTGATGGTTGTCTTGGGCTACGTGGGTCATAGCTCTGAGTTGGAGAGTTGTCATCTGAAATAATGAGGCAGGTGAAGCACCTTGGTATTCTTGGCTCCGTGGAAGCAGCTGCTATGGAGGGGCTGTGGCAGTGAGATGAGGCTGGATGAAAGACAGAGGGCATTTGTAGGTAGACAGCTTCTGGAGGCACCAGGGCCAGCTGCCCTGGGGTGCTGTCCCTGGGGAATCAGAGCCTTCCTCCCACTCTAGGAACCCCCCAATTGCAGCCACCAGGACTCTTTCAGTTCAGAGGCTCTTTCATGTCCAAAAGTTCATTTATTTATTCATTCATTCATTCATTTACTCATCCATCCATCCATTCATTCACTGGTTCACTTAATGTGTTTATGAAAGGTCTACTCTGGGCTAAGTGCTTGCAGGGGCTGGGGCTTCAGAGGCAAACCACACACACAACCCTGCATTCACTGCCCTGACTGTGATGGCTAACCCCACCCTCACCCCTGTTGTCTGTTCTTCCTGACAGATAAGTCAGGGACACTTGGAGAACAGTGTGAGGAGTGCTGTGATGGGGAGACACTGAGTGCACAGAAGGTGAGGGGCCATCATCCATCTGGAGGTGACCATGGGGACACTGCCAGGCTGCAAGCCAGGCCTGGGAAGCACTCCAGGCAGAGGGGACCAGAAGAGGCTCGGTGGAGGAAGAAGGCTGGCCCCTCAGAGGAATGACAGGCTGTTAACCTGCCCAGAGTGTCAGGTGTGAGAGGTTGCCCAGAGAAAGTGGAAAGGAGAGAATGTGGGTCCTTGCAAGCCAGGGAAGGGTGTGGACCTGACCTTAGGCCATAAGGAGCCATTGAGGCTTTGTAGGGTGGAAGTGAAGAGGGGCTCGGTCTGGAGTCCGTATGCTCTGGAAGCTCTGGGTAAAAGCTGGCAGGTCTGCACTTTGCCTTCCATGGGCTCTGCAGCAGAGCAGGCCACAGCTGCCAGAAGTGACAGCTCCTGCAAGGCCCGGTGCTGTGGGACAGAAGACTCACACTCCAAGCTGGGTGCTGCCTGCCTCCACCTTGCAGAGCAGTGCCAAGCCCAGACCCACAAGAGAGCCTCTGTGGGCACTGGGCATGGAATTTTCCTCTCAGAGTTTGACCCAGTTGCTGGCTGTTATTCAGTCACTGTGGATGAGCCTGTGGAATTTCAGAAAGGTCAGACGTTAGGGAAGAGTGCTAATGTTACCAGGATCTCGCTTGCACCTCGGCTGAGCAGCTCGAGGGCTTGGCAGAGCCACTTGTTCCTCCCTAGGGATCCTTGTCCATCAGCTCCTTTCCCAGGGCCACGCTGCACCCTGGAGGCCGCTGTGAGGTGCAGGCACCTCTCCCGAAGGAAGGTCACCTGATATCGGAGCCAGTGACAGAGGCCTGCACCAACTGTGATACCACAGTGCCCAGAGACTGAGAAAACTGGGGAAGGGCAAAGGGCTGGTTTCTACTTTTTAAAAATGACCAGTTCTGTTTCTCAAACTTAGAAAATCATACACGAAGTAGAGAGTAGGTTTCGATTTGTGCCTGACAGTTCTCAAGTCACTTACATTTGTGTGGGGACTTGCTTTTAGATGGTTGTTTCTCCCAGAGGATGCATTAAAGGCCGGCTCCTCTGCACCGTCCCCCTCGCCAAAGCTCTTATCTGCTGTCATCATTTTCTGGGTCATGTTGTGATTGTTCCTGAGTGGGGCTTATCTCCACTAATAGGTTATAACTGCTTGAGGGTTGGAACCACATCACATTTAGGAGCTGACACCCAATACCATGCAAGAAGCTTGAGGTAGGAAAAAAAGATCATGGGCAGTGTTTGGGAAGCATCACATAATGCTCCCTAGAGATGGAAGACAAATATAGGTGTCATGGAGCAGCAAAGGCAGAGTTATCAGCTCATCAGCACAGGCCGTTCTTCCTGAGCATGCATCCTGGTGATGGAGATTGAGATTGAGTCCTACTCCCTCTTAGCTGATAGACCATTGATAAGAACAAGGAGGGTGATGATGGTAATCAGTATTTAAGGCGTGCTTCTACTGTACGCCAGGCACTGTGCAAGTGCTGGAAAAGCCTCACCTCATTTAGTCCCTCTAACATCCTTATCAGGTCAATTCTCTTATTAACCCCCTCTTACAGTTGGGAACATTGAGTTCCAGAGAGTTTACCACTGGCCCAAGTAACACAGCTTCTCAATGGGAAAGCTGTGCCTCAAACCATGTCTGCAGAGTCTTAAGCGCAGCTCCAGTTCTGTTCTCTACCACTTTGGGGATGTCCTGTGAAGCCCTGCCACAGTGAATGGGCATGGCTGGGTGTTCTGTCTACTTAGGGCTTCCAGATTCCCGAGGATCATGTGTATGCATCTGTGTGTGTGTGTGTGTGTGTGTGTGTGTGTGTGCGTGTGTGTGTGTGTGTATACATGTGAGAGAAGAAGAGAGAGAGAGGGCAATTTAAAAAGCATATGTAGGTGTTTGCCAGGCCCAACAGCTTGCCTGTAGTGTTTAGTGCATGTGTATCAGGGTCTGGGAGGAAAAGCACTATCAGGCATGACATGGGTCAGGGCAGGTCATGACTGGAACTTCCCTGTGTGATCTCTGCCCAGGTCCTCTGGGCTCTGTCCAGGAATGGGGCCTCGGTGTGCCAGGTGGTGGAACGGCCCACCACAAGCCGTTCTCTATTGCTCCTCGGTGGCCCTGCAGAGGGTGTGGGTCAGTCCCCTGCAATAACCGGGCCCCTGTGCAAAGGTGTTTTTCAGAGGCATCACTGTGAACGCGGTGCGGGGCTTCCCCATGAGCGCGGCCATGTTCCTTGGGTACGAGCTGTCACTGCAGGCTATCCGCGGGGACCACACCGTGACGAGCCCATGAGCGCCAGGTCAGTGTGCTTCCATCCTGGCCAGTTGTGCCTCCTGGAAACTTGAAACTCTTTTTTTTTGTCATGAGAATGTTGTGACCTTCTGAAATGTCCTGTCGTTTGTCACATATCTAATCTGTAGTAGGCCGGGGCCATCCTTCTTGTCATCGAACAGCAGTTCAGAAATGCCCACCAGTGACTGTGGTATGCTGGGTCCCCAGGGACTGAGTCTGGCACAGAATGTGCCTGTTTCCAGACAGCTCACCTATCCATCTTTCCATCCAGCAGCTTCAACACCCCTTGCAGAGAAGGGCTTTTACCTTCACTGTGCAGACGCAGTGACCCAGGCTCATAGGTGAGGACTGCAACCAGGAAACCTGCAGGGGCCGTCTCCCCACCTCCCTACTGAGCTGAGCCTGACTCAGAGCCACCCACAGGCTCCCAGAGCCCTAGAGGATAGGTCTCTGCCACCATTTCTTGCCTCCCATACCCTCTTTCTTTTTCTTTCTCATTGCAGAAAGATCACAGTAGCCTGAGGACTCTTCTAAAGACAGAAATCTGACTCCCATGCTCACACGCCCTACTTGGCTCTCCATTACCATGTAGATAAAAAGCCTTCACACTGCCTCCTCTGGCCTCATCCCTCACCACTGTTCTGAACGTCCCGCCCTCTCTCTTGCCCCTAGGTCTTTGCTCAGGCTGGTCCCTCTGCCTGACATCCTCTTCTCGCTCCTTCCCCGCTTGTTCTTGACTTCACCAGCTCTTTGTCACCCAGGCTGTAGAAGTCTCCTCCTCCAGGATGCCGGCTTGCTTTCTCAGCTGGGGTGAGTCATGCCTTCTGCAGACCATCCCCCACCCCCACCCCCACTGCATCCTAAGTGCCAGAGGACTCCCTCACTTCCCAGGCAGGGCTGCTGCAGCCATCCCCACCTTTGCACTGATGGTGCCTGGCACAGAGCCCAGCACACAGAAGACCACTCAGCAGAGCTTTTGGATGGTAGATAACCAGCTCCCTGTATCCCCGCAGGCCTCCTCTTCCTCCTGTGCTTTTTATTCCTCATTGCTCCTTATCTGGTCCCAAACTGGCTACCTGGAAAGCCCAGAAGACAAAGTAGGGGTGGACTGAACTTTCTAGTCGACCAAGAGGCCATTTGACTCAGCCTTGGTTACCACAAACTCTCTTAGGAAGGATGATCTTTGTCTCTAAAACCTCACTGCTGCCTCCCCTGTGAGCTGGCAGGGGCGTTCTCGTTCTCGGGACAGCAGAGCCCTGCCGTGGTGCATGGGCAGTGCCAGAGCCTGTGCAAAGGGCAGGGCCTGACCAATCAGGCTGACTGTAGTGAGCCCAGGACAAGCCCCAGAAGCTGGCTTCAAATAAAACACTCCACTTTTTGCTAAAGTGGCAACATTCACAGCTTTTCTGGCTTTTTGCCCTTTCTTATAAAAGGAAAAGGGTAGCAACACAGTTTGCATAATTAAACATCTTGAGTGAAGAGTTACTGCATTTGGGTGATGTCCAGGACAGGGAAGGAATTTGTCTTATTCTCAGAGCTGTGCTCAGATATTGGCCATTCCGCCTTTTAACAGAGAAAAGTAATTTCTTTAAAATCCTATAATAAACGCCATGCATTTTTGTTGTAGAAAAATATAGAAAATTCAAATAAACAGAAAGAACAAAATAACAAGACCTGTCATCACAAGACCTTGTTATTATCCTTCCAAGGCTGTCTTATGTGTATTTCCAAATCGGGATCCTGCTCTACACAGTGTTTTACAGCCCTCTCTTCCCATTTAGTAGTTTGGGACCATTTTCCCATGTCACGAAATCTTCAGCTACAAGATGGTTTTAATGCCAAGACCTCCCAGATCTCAGAGTGGCTGGATGCCTGCCCAACCTGTCGTACCTGCCACTGTGACCAGCCTGCTGATTAACTGCTTCAGGACAAAGGAGGAAGTTTCTAGCAAGCCAATCACGATTGTCCTGCATTTGGCCTTTCACAAGCAGTGACCAACCCCACTGGAAGCTTTTCTTTCTGAAAGCGCTCTTTCTTATGAGGAGCATGGCTGGCTATCTGCCTTAGGAGGGAGGACTGCTAAGGCAGGGAGGAGGCTGCTGCCTCCTGGTGGGAGAGGGAGGTTCCCGGTCACCCATCTGTAGATTCATATTAAACAAGTCTTGCCCCTGGCATTCAACTTCCTGCTCTAACCCAAAACACTAAGGCCTTTTAATGAGACTGGCTCTTAATTTACCAAATAGCTCTGAGATTTGGGGCAGGCCATGGTCAGGCAGCAGTCACACCCACTCTTTGAATGCCTCCCACATTGTCTAGACCCAGGACACAGTGAGACGGCGTATATTAGAGATCTAGGGAGGCAAGCAGTCCCTAAGAAGTGGCAGGGTGGGGACCATCTCAAGAGTTCCTGGATACAGATGGCAGGAATGACTTGAGAATTGTTTCTAAGAGCTTGCAGGAGATAGATGACCCAGCTCCAGCAGCACCAGGTGCCTTCCAACAGCCAGGCACAGAGATCTCCCCCAACTCCCCTAGGTCCCATGCAGGAAGATCAGTGACCTTTGGTGGTAGAAGTGGCATCTCATCCACTCAGCAGTGGCTGGCTCGTAGACTTGTCTGTAGCTCATGAATCTAACTCTGCCATCCCTACCTGTCCACCAAGACCAGCCCCCCAGAGCTTCCTGGAATAATGCTAGCCTGCCCTCTGTCCTGACATGCACCCTCCAGACCTCATTAGCCTACCTTCAGTTTCAGGAAAACCCATGTTCAAGGAAAGAAGATACAGTCTTCTTATGATACCTTTTTATACCTTTTTTGAACATTTACAAGTAGCCCTGGCAACCCTGAGAGCCTCTGCCTGTCTGTACTTTGCCTCTTGGTGCTTCACATACCCAGTCTCCAAATGGGTTGTTTGACCCCGAGATCCAAGATTTCAAGACTCCAGTTAGATGACGTTCTTGTCTTTCCTCCTTTTTCCCAGGGCTTCATTCCATTAACAGGTCAATGCAAAAGTGTCTGCAGAACCCATGGTGTGATTTACGGAAGAGAAAGATGGACTTCCCACCAGGTGGGCTTTCAGCCAAGCACGCTGTCCTCAGAACCCCTTCTTCCTTCCTTCACAAGCACTCTGATCCTCACCCTGGCTGGGGCAGTGGAGCTCCAGCCTTGGAGGGATGCAACTGACCATTGGTCAACTGATCAACTATTTTGGTTTTGGATTTGCACCGGGTAACAACAGACCAGAACAAAACAAAACTAGATTAAATTGGCTCTGCCCCCATGGCTGTTGTAAACTCACTGGGAATTCACGGAAGAGCTGGAGTTGGCTCTAAGTTTCCAAATAAAAGCATTAAAAACCTCTTTACATTGTTTCTGTAGCAGATGCCTTTGCCTGGTTTCCAAGAGAGGCACCTGGCCACTGTCATTTCTCTCTCTGTTCAGGCCTCTGTGGGTATTACAGGCCCAGAGGGAAACGCCCTTCACACAGGTGAGGAGAGAAACTGACAGGGGCAGCCTGGCTTCTTTTTTCCCAGATACCTAAGGTCAGCAGGGGAGGGCATAGCAGATGAAAAGGGCAATAAGGGACAGAAACCTAGGGGTACTCCCACCCTGAGCAGTGACACATGTTGGTGACTTGCTTCAGAGAGGCTGGCCCTTAGCTTGGTTGGGGTGGGCACTCTCTGGGCCTTATTTTTGCATGGAGAACTAAACAAACAAAACAAAATACTTGGTCCACAGTCTGGCTTCCAAAGTGACTTCATTGTTCTAAATTTTATTCCCTACTAGAGCCACGTGGAGAGGCCATTAATATTTTGCTGTTACGTGGCTTGAGTCCCTGCAGCCTCTCCCAATTCTATGCCCACAACAAGCATTCCCAGCCAATCACAGAGCCCTTTCTGGATGAGCTGAATGGCGCTGCAGAGTCCACAGCACAGTGCCCTGGCAGCCACCACCAGCTGCGCAGAACTGTCATACAAAATAAATCTATTTGCCATCCCTGGCTTAAATCCCAGTGCGGGAAATGTCCCCAAATTTGTTCTTTTTTCTTTCCCTTGAAAAGGTCTTCCTTGGTTTCTCCACTACCCTGTTCCCCCACCATCCCCTGCCTTTGAGTGATTTGGCATGTCTGAAAATTCTCTGCCTTAATAGACCCAAGACAAAAGCAATGCTATGGTGCAAACAAGTTGAAAGTGCTCAGTCTCTTCGGTGTAAAACCTGTTCGTGGCGCGGAGGGTTCCCTGCTTGAAATAAAACCATCAGCTTGCCCTCCTCAGTCTTTCTCTTCACAGCCTCTAGGACTGCAGGGTACCCTGGGCATCTCTGTAGGCTGCAGTTCAAGCTTCCCACCCTCCAGCAGTGGGATATTCATTCATTTGTTCAGTCATCAAACATTTGTTGAGCAGGTGCTGACCTAGGTGGTGGGAACAGCCACGAGGGACTCCAGTGGCATGCCATTCTGGTGCATTGGAGAGGCTCTGTTGACTGGAGAGACAAGCCTGCCTGTCTGCTCCAGCCTCACTGGGCCTGGGTGGGCGCAGAGGATGAGAGTGGAGAGATGTTTCTGGCACCTGGTTCATCCCTGGGTAGACCTGAAGTCTCTGCTCTAACACATTCTAGAATGTGTTTCTTAAGTCTGCCTCAACTGGACCATTTTCTGGTGCTAGGCATGGTTGCACAGTTTGTTTAGCAGTGGTGCTGTGTCTAGAAGGCCAACTGGGGTCTTATACTGGATGCTCCTGATGAGGCTGAGATGCACCAACCACTTTCTTCAGGTGTCTGAGCCTTTCCTAGTTTCTATTAATCATCACGGCACCTCTTGATAATAGGAGGAGGTAAGCAGAGAGAAGCATGCTGATCCAGTTTACAGATGAAGAAACTGAGGCTCCAACATAACTGAGCCCCAGCTCAGGACTTTACCACCAATCACATTTGATAATCTTCCTGAGGCTACACTCCCCTGCTGTCCAGCCCAGGGAACATCGCCAGCAGCCATGATGATGGCTATTTTGTGGTGTGAAAAAGATAAAGTTGTTGGGGCACGTAAGTGTGGAGTCTCAAACTGCTATTGAAGGCCTCCTATGAACCACATCAGAACTGCCCTTCTGGACTCACCTCCCATTGCTCTGGTCCAGGCTCCCTGTGCTCCCATAATTTCCCTCATCCTGTCCAGTGCCAGGCATATAATGGGCATTTAAATGTTTGCTGAAAGAATTCCCAAGTGATCCAACCAGGCTGCTGAGCCAGCTGCTGTCTGCCCAGCACCCTCTAGGCTTCCCTGCCTCCGTGCTTTTCTTTAACCTATAGGACACTCTTACCCCCAGCATCACCAGACACAGGAATGCTCCCTGTTTTCAGCCCAGCTCAGATGCTTTAAGCCCTTAGGTGTTTGGGCTTCCTAGATTCTCTCTCTGTCTCTTCTCCCAGCAGCAACCATGGCCCTTCCAGCGACATGACCCCTCTGGCACTATGTCCCTCCCTGTGCTACAGTCATCTCTGTGTGCCCTCTCTTTCTCACCAGCCTGTGCCCACCTTCACGGCCAGGACTGAGTTGTACCAAGTCTTAGATTCAGCATAGCAGCAAGCACAAACAGCGTTTAGAATAAAGGAAGCATAAATTAATGGGCAAAAATGCAAGCATGACCATGTTAATTGAGAATTGCTTGTAATAATGAAAATTCAGAAACTTTCTAAATGCCTATCAATAGGAGAGGGGGTTAAACAAATTGAGATGCATCCATACTCTAGAATAGTATCACACAGCCACTAAAAAGAATGAGGTGGACTTTAAATATATTGTCATGGAAATATGTCAGCAACATTGTAAGTGCAGAAATGGAAGGGCGGAATAAAGTATATGATATTATTCATTTTCATTTAAATATATATATTATATATGTGTAACTACATGGGCAATGAAAAACTCTGGAAGGGTACACACCGAATTTAATAGTGGCTATTTCTGGGATGTAGGATTGGGAGAAGTCTTTTAGTTCTCACTTTGATGATGGTGATTTCTTTGTACATCACTATAATGATGGTGATTTGATGATGGCGATTACTACAATGTTTCGATTTTTTCCAGCATGTACATATTGTTTTTATAATTTCTTAAAATAAAAGCACATCTTATTGCAGAGCTAGGGCTCCCTGCTGGGCACTTGTTTTTCAGGCTGCAGGCTGGTTCTGCCTCGCTGCCCAGCCTCAGCCTGGCTCTGAATAACAGCACCGGCCACCGCTCCCCACCCCCGCCCTCCTCCATGCTGGGCAGACACTGCCTCAGCACACCTTCTGCACCCTCACTCCCACCCAGGAGCACCTGGGCTGTGATGAATGAAACTCAGCCTTAATGAAGAGACTGGCTCCAACCCAAGCAAATCTCATGTGGTAGCCAGAACTGGGAGGGGTCAGCCAGCAACAGCTCTGCTTCCTCTTTGATTTTTCTGGAGGGCAATCTTGTGGAATAGTTAGGGCCAACAACTTGGGAGTTTTCCCCCATCAACACATTATGGTTTTATTTAGCCAAATATATATGTATGTGTGTGTGTGTGCACTCATGTGTGTGAGTGTGTGTGTGTGTGTGTATGTGTGTATAGTCTGACACTGCCCAGTGCTGTTCTAGGTATTGGGTGAAAATGGCAGGGAGCCTGCCCTCAGGAAGCTTCGTATCAGGCATTAATTTCTGTGTCATGATCGGGAAAGTCTTTAAACAAATGGAATTCTATTTTTAAGAAGGATGAAAACAGAACAGAATTCCAAGCCAAGCATCAGTTTTGGTGTCTGTGCCCTGGAGTTGGGGGACTTCAGGGTTGGCCAATTTGCCTTACTAGGAATGATAAAAAGAAGAACAAAAACCATTGCCATATACAGCAGCAGTTCTCAATAGCAGCCTCTTTCACTCCTAAAAATTATTAAGTATATATATGCAAAGAAGATCTGCATATATATACCAACATTTACCAGAAATTCAAGCAATTTCAACAATATTTATCCATTTAGGTATAATAATAAACCCATGACATTTTACATAAATAGCATTCTATATAAATAACGATTCTTTCTAAATCAACATAATTAACTAGAAGACTTGCATTGTTTTCTCTTTTTGCGGCTAAGTCTGGCTTAAACAGAGGGAAATTGTTCCCCTGACTGCTTTTGCTTTTAGTCTATGGGTTATCTCTTGCAATGTAGCCTTTGGGAAACTCCACTGTACGCTTGTGAGAACATGAGATTGAAAAGAGCAGATAACATCTTAGTGGTCTATGAAAATAGTTTTGACCTCGTGGGATCTCTTTGAGAACTCCTGCCCTAAAGGAAAAAAACAAAACCCTCATCCGAAGGCTGATACCCAGCAGAACCACCACTTGGTGGCAGCAGAGGTCAACCAAACCCTCCGCAGGAGCCCGCGTCTGGGAGTGCAAGACCTTGGCCCTGAGGGGAGAGCACCAGGGCCCCGTGACACTTCTCTTCCTGTTTGCTGGGTGTCTCCATCTCCCGTGGTGTTGCCCTTTTCCTTCTCTGTAGTGGAAAGAACTGCACAGGAGGGAGACCTTCCCCTTGGATTCCCGTTACAGGTGGGCCATCGGCTACCTGCGTGCTCTTGCAGGCATCGGCGCCCCTGAGCCTTCTGTAAAATGGACACACTGCTCTCCCTTACCTAACTTGCACAGCTTTCATAAGAATCAAAGGCAAAAGTGATTTTGTAAACTGTAAAGTGCAAAACATAGGGACTGGAGGAAGCGGGGCACGGTGTGATTTTTCTGGTTTCTGTTCTTTGCCTGCCTTCTTCTCTGAGTCTGGGTTGTTTGCTTTTCCAGGAGGTGAACACAGGGCGACTCCAGTGTTCCCTCATCTCTGCATGTGAAGCCCTGAGAGCTGCAAAAGTTTGGCCTTTGGACCTCCGAGTGGACACCTGTTAGCAAGCATGGGCTAGGATGGTGCAGACACTGACGTGGCCCTTCTAATGCCTGAGATGCCTCATGAGTCATTGATTCAAGCCTTCCAAGGTTCTGACCCCGAATGCCCACTCTGCTAGGCTGGCATCAAAGAGGTTTCCAGGAAATGTTTGGTCCAGCAGAGAAGTACAGACCATGAACACCACAGAGCCAGAAACCATCCAGAGAGATGTTGCTTCGCTCCTCTGGCTGGGCCTGGGGAGGGGCCGGTGAGCCACGCCCTCAAGTCTCAAGCCCCACATCCCCGTGCCTCTCCTCTTTTCTCAGTACCGACCACGTTTCTCTTCGCTCCTGCACCCGTGGACCCTGAGGACAGCGGCAGCGCTTTCCTCACCGCACACTGAGCCCAGCGCCTGCTCCTCACTGCGCACTTACTAGTGTCTGTTGAGTGATTGAATCACATCCTCAGGTCTGCAACAAATAAATAAAGCTTGCTTTATTTTTTGTTAACTGAAATTTTTTTTCAAGCTGACAACAGAAAAAAATAATTTTGCTATTTCAGGGTAAAACTTAGAAAGTCCAAGTTAAATGCTCAGTTCAAGATTTTTTCCTTCTCCACCCTCCCCTGGGGTTGGCTTTAAATCGGGAGAGGCTTCAGGGTCCTGGGAGATGCTCTGTCCTACCCTGGTGTTCTTCCTGGCTAGTCCTGGGCATGGCTTTCCCTCTAGGGCGGCTTCTGAAGAAGCATCTTCACTCCCATTTGGTCCCTGACACGTGGTCCACATATACACCCATCCCAATGCCTCTCCAGCCTTATCACCCTCCAAGACACACCAGTGCTCCTCTCTGTCCTGTATAAACATCTGTGGTTTCTCCATTGGAACTATTTGGGGGGCTACATCAAGCTCACCTTCCTAGGGCCTGTGGGTGGTCCTCCCTATAACCCATCTTATGTGTGGTGGCAAGAGGCATTATCTTTTCATGCCATCTCCCAGGGCGTTCAGGGCACGCGGCTCATGTGCCCTTCACTCTTGGTTTTCTACCATCCCCTGGAGTTCTGCACCCTACCCCGAGGCTCTGCTGGGGGTCAGGCAGACAGCCCTTCTCTAGGGAACTCAGCTGTGTCTGCCATCATCCCCTCCTCTCTGACTTCTCTTCCACAGCCAAAGGAGTTACTTCCTATCACAGGGCTGGGAGAGTTACTGTTAGAACTTCTAAAGGCAAGAATTAACCTCTGTGTCAATAGCCTCTATACCAATAAGGGCAAAATCTGACAGAATCCAATCTCATTCATGATAAAAGTGCTTGACAGACTGAAAATATAAGGGAATTTTCTCAGCCTAATAAGCATTTATGAAAAGTCCACAGCCCACATCATATTAATATTTAATTGTGAATGACTGGATTCATCCCCACTAAAATCAGGAACAAAACAAGAATGTCTACTCTCACAACTTTTATTCAACATTGTATTGGAGGTTCTAGCCAGAAATTAGGCGAGAAAATGAGATAAAAGGCATCCAAATTGGAAAAAGAGAAGTAAACTACCTTTATTTACAGATGATATGATACAGTATAGTGATGTTTGCACAACATGCCAATACACTAAAATCCATTGAATTATACACTTTCAATGGGTGAATTGTATTGAATATGGTATATGAAGCATATCTCAATGAAGCCATCTTTTTGGGGTTTTTTTGTTTTTTAAATAGGGTCTTGCTCTGTCACCCAGGCTGGAGCGTAGTGGTGCAATCACGGCTCATGGCAGCTTTGACCTCTTGAGCTCAAACGATCCTCCCATCTTAGCCTCCTAGTGGCTGGGACTACAGTTGCATGTCACCATGCCCGGCTAATTTTTGTATTTTTCATGGAGACTGGGTTTCACCATATTGGCCAGGCTGATCTCAAACTCCTGGACTCCGGTGATCTGCCTGTGTCAGCCTCTCAAAGTGCTAGGATTATAGGCATAAGCCACTGTGCCTAGCTAAAGCCATCTTTTTAAGGTGACAAAAACAAAGAATGAAGCCCTTTGGGTCCTCTTTGTGTTTCTGCTGAGGCCTCCCTTTGCAGAGAAAGGGAGGTCTTGGTCTGGGATCAATGAAATAGGGTGACGAAATGTGGCAATGGGAGGAGAGGAACGGTGAGGTTGAGACATCACAGCATCTTCCTGCTTCAAACTGGGTGGATGGACAGAGGAAGGGAGGGATGGAGAGATGGACGAGCCAGCTTTATGGCTGGCCACATCTTGGCTTGGCTTTGGCCAGCAGTGTGTGCTTTGGCCTGGAATCTACTGGAAACAGCTCTGCCCAGGGCCTGGCAACCTGGCGAGGGTAGCAACTTAACCGCTTGTGAGCAACATGCTTCTGGCCAAGTTATGCAACCCCGTTGGGCCTAGTTATCTCATTTGTGCAGTGGGAAAAATTACATACAACAATTATATAAATATCTCGTGGCGTTGTTGTGAGGATCCAACCAGATAGTCTACAAAATAGGCTCAGCAGAGTGCCTGGTACAGAGTAAACACTAAATGTTGGTTCTCCTTTCTCCAGGGCGGCTTCTTGATGAATCTCAACTCTCCTGCCACAGAGATGATAATTATTGCACACTTCACTGTAAGTAAACCCTCCTTGGAGCTTGTCTGCAGGAGTGAACACTGCAGATTATGTGACTTTTGCAGAAAAGTGGAGGGACAGCACCAAACTACTCTGGTGATTAATCTGCAGCAGTGAGTGGAAGCTCGTCTCTGCCCGTCTCCTCTGGCAACACACCACATTTCTGAGTTGTATTCTGAAACCGTCACCAGCCACCAGCATCTGTCCCTGCTGTGATCCTGCTTGGGGTGAGCATTGCTGAGTTGGGTGTCTCCCTGTGCTGCAGGTGGTAAACCACACAGTGTCACATGATGCAACTATGTCTGGGGCCAGTCATTCAGAAAACTCACATGGAGGAGAGGAGGAGAGAAGGCGCTGCAGCTGCTGCCTGGAACTCCAGGTGGCTGCCGTCCAGGGAGCTACAGAAACCTCCATCCCTCCTGGAGACACCCAGCTGAGCCCCAGATAAAACGTCTTGGAGGGAGTGCCTTGCTCCCTTAGTAAGCAGGGCATGAGCTAGACCTAGGCTGTTTTGTTAATGCAGCTTACCAATTTCTTATCATGATTCTGAAATCTAAATAGCTCTGAAAACTCAAGGACTCGTTTGGCTGCAAAACTTCACCATTTGGGTGACTGCTACAGGACTGATATGTTTAATTATGGAATCTTGCTCCAGGCCCTGCTATGGCTGTTATGTAATATCTGGCGCATGGATTGTTTCAACTTTATAAAAGGCTAAAAAGCTTGAATTCTGAAACCTGTCAGACTCCCTAAGTTTCTGGATATGAGAGTGTGGCCTGGAATTCTGATGCATCTATTTTACCCTCAGGCTGTGGTCGGAAGAAGCACAATGTACACCCTGGGTATAAAGAGAATGAGAAGAGGCAGAATGCAAACAGCAAAGGGTTTAGAAGTAGAGAGGGCTAGGGGTGAATCTTCCTCTAAATCTCTCCACCTGTGGGATCTTGGGAATGCCATCCAGACTTTCTAAGCTTTGGTTTCAGTGTCTACAGAACAGAAACACTGTAATAATAATATCTACTTCCTAACCGAACTAGTGGGTGAAGCACTTAATTATTAACGATTTATTCTGCATGCGCACATTCTTGAGCAGTCTCCCACCTGCAAACTGCTGCCATTTCCTGTTGTAGGCACACGGCCAGTTTCTCAGGACCCTAGCCCTCTTGGCATGGCCCCCTGCCTCCCTCCCTCAGACATGCCTTCAGCCTCCCCTAGCGGCAACCCTCAGATGGTCCCCACAGACACTCTTAGTAACTGCTCCCTGCAGCCCCCTGCAGCCCCAGCCACAGCCTGTGAGCCTGAGGGCTGTATTCAGCATCAGAACTCTTACCACTACAGGAGTCTCTGATCTATTTTTCCCCTTCACAACGCTTGTAGCTTTCTTTGCTCTAAGCAGCAAGAAATGAATAATTGCCTAGAGACCAGCTCATGTTGTTTCCCCCATATATATTTGTTTCAAAATAAAGATACATAATTTTAAACAAATGATTGCAACTGATTTTGACTTAGCTTACTGAATTTTTTTATTGTAGCAACTTAAAGAGAAAGCTTTTTAAAGTTAATAAATAGAATAAATAATATTTCATCTTCATATTTTGCCTCCCATTCCTCTCATCTTTTCTTTCTGGAAAACTTCCAGGAGGCTCTTCAGAAATGTCAGCACGTTGCCTGCCACGGTTTGGTTGCATGGCTGTTCACAGGAGAAATACTGTGGGGATGAAAGTTGATAAGGACAGAGTGATGTAGAGCCAAGCAGCCCTGGAGCCAACCTGCTGAGAGCCAGAGTCAGGCATGAAGGAGTGTGGGGATGGGCAGGGAAGGGACTTGAGACCCAGAACAAACAGGTGGTCCAGTCCAGGCTAGCTCACGTGGTGTAAAGACAGCGCAGGTGGTTGACTTCAAGTTGGATTTCAGGGGTCTACACACACACACACACACACACACACACAGACACACACACACACACACACCCCTATCAAGTGGCCCTAAATCTCCCCATTAGAGAAAGTCTTTTCTGGGGACTCTTTGAGGCCTAAAATGGTATCATTATCCTTTTAGGTTGTCTTTCCAAGGTCATTTGACAGCACAATGGCTAAGAACGGGGCTCTGAAGTCAAATAGACCTCAGTTCAAATCTCAGCTCTGCCACTTATTAAGTATGCAGCCTTAGGCAAATTAGTTGACCTCACTGAGAGTGGTAAATTGAATAATTGTCCCTAAGGTATGTATTTATTCAGTGAGACAGCATATATGAAGCACTTAGAACTAAATGCTATTGATGGTAGAAACACATGCAGCTAAACATCTGAGCACAGGACTTTCAGCCTTCTATGATCTTGCATGGAGATGCTAACACCTAAAAGAGGCAGGGAGGTCACCCCATCCAACCCGCCACCCCACTCTGCTATTAGGGATTAAGGTATATGCTGAAAAAGAGGATCTGTGGATGGGCATTCAGGACGAGTGGCAAGCTTCCACCTTGACCTGGGTGCATTGACCTTAAACACCCTCTTAATCCAGGTCAGGGAGTGGTGGCTCACGCCTGTCATCCCAGCACTTTGGGAGGCTGAGGCAGGCAGATCACTTGAAGTCAGGAGTTCAAGAGCAGCCGAGCCAACACGGTGAAACCTAGTCCACTAAAAATACAAAAATTAGCCGGACATGGTGGCATACACCTGTTATCCCAGCTACTCGGGAGGCTGAGACAAGAGAATCACCTGAACCCAGGAGGTGGAGGCTGCAGTGAGCCAAGATTACACCACTGCACTCCAGCCTGGGCAACAGAGCGAGACTCTGTCAAAAAAAACAAAAAACAAAAACCCTCTTTAAACAACAGGAAAAAAAAATCTCTTTTAGCAACACCCATTCGGTTAGTAAATTGAATCTCTAGGCTAAT